GGTTGGTCAGTAAAGTCAGCTTCCAGTCGGGCGAGGGCAACATCTACTTTAAAATTTAGCAACCCCACTGCGAGGGTGGGGAAAAAGCCCTTACCATACACTTTCGTTCCCCGAAGTAGTTGGTTGGCTTGCAAGAAGACGGCTGCGCCTCCACCTCAGCCTTGGCAACGTGACACTGACATACACTGCGTCATAGACTACACTCATACATAGACTACTCTGCAGGAGTCGAAAAGCACAGCCCAGAAGTCAGTGCCGAGTTTCTTCGGGCTTTAGCTTCTGAGGCCTTTCTGCAGCTTTCTCCTTAGTCTAGCAACAGATACGCAGATCCTTCAACAGTCTGCATGGCCATGCCATCATGTCACGTCTGAAATACCCGCAGCCTCTATGAGCTTCATGGTCGGGATATCATCCTTGATCTCACCCATGTCCTGGTTCCGGAATTGAATAACATGGTGCTCAATTCCTGGATATTCTGAAGGGTAATGCATCTTGGACTACAACTGGCGAGACCAGGAGCTCACTGACTCTCTTTGCGTCGCAGACAGGAAATTGCAAGGACGCTTTTAATGACGCAGAAAGCGACGTGCCTCTGAAGGTGTTGGCAGCACCTGGAGCAGTCACCACCAGACACTAGCAAAGAAACGGTGATTTCTGTTCTGGCCTCCTCCAGCTTTTTCTCAGGCGGCAGGGGCGCCGTTGCCTGACACGCTCTGCACTATGAGCAAGCTTTTGCACTTCTCGTCATGGCCTCCTCACCCTCATCAGCATCCAGCGACAATGTCTCGAAAACCTCTCTCTTTCCATGCACAGCTTAATCACAGTAGGCGTCCGAGGCAGGTGAAAACTTGAAAGATCTTGAAAGTGACGCGGACCTTGCTGTCGCTCTTTACCAAGGTCGGACAGTTCGGGCCAGCAGCCACGAAGCACCTTCAACGACGCGGCGAAACAGTGAGAACAAGCGCTAAAAGGCTGACGGTAATGATATCCCCAACCTTAGATCCATCCAGAGTGCTGGCCGCACTCAGAAACTGCAAAAACTGGCGCTACTATCAATCACTACGACTATTAGATATCCTCACGTGCAGCTGAGCATGACAGCTCCTGAAGCTTGCTAACTCTGCTGTGGACTGCAAATCTCATGTTTAGCGTTGCACCTCAGTTCATCGACGTGTGTCTTGGCATTGGGCTTGATGCTGGGCAGATGGTCTGACATCCTTAGGGTAGCAAGTCTGGCAAGTCCGTACCACCAGCAACTAAGGCTAACTAGCGCTGGGAGGAACCCTTCCCACATCAGCGCAGGCGAAATCAACTAGACCACACCTTTTCCCGAGCACTCTATGAAGCCATGATATTGAGCGCCATGCTCGTGCATCAGCTGGAGCAAGCTGAGATTCATTTCCTGTTGCAGGTCAAACTGTCTCAAGCTTTGGCAGCCACGCATCAGGCATACCAGGCCAGACTTGAATGCCTTCTGGAAATGCTCCAGAGGAAGGTCATTGTCGTCCTGGCCGAATGGCATTTCTAGCTGCGCGGCCACCTGTCACAGTCGCAGCAAATGCGCAGCAGAAGCTTGTAGGTCGAATACAGAGCTGGCATATACTGGCATTTCCGCAAGCGATCACACAACAGGTAAAAGCAATGCGTGCAGCCGCAGCTTGAGCTTTCGCTTGAACGGCAGCCTGATTCAGCGCAAACATGCCAAACACGGGAACGAAGGTCACGGGAATGGCCCACTGATAGCTCGTCATGAAAGAAGTCACCTAAGCTTGTTCATGCCAATTTCAACTTGCATGCAGCGACTGTTTGTTCTCATTCCCTTGCCTGTATCGAACGAAACAGCGTGACTGTTTGCAGCTCTCAGGAGCCACGCATGGAGTGAAGACCGAATGCACAACCAGAAGAAGCATGATCATCTGAGCCCAGGGAAATGGGAAGTTTGTGTCCTGCCAAGCGCAAAGAGCTTGTATAGGGTTATCTGTGTACGCTGCACGGTTCAATTCCACTTATAGGCGCATGTTCGCAGCCCCCATGTACCACATGCTTGAATGAAAGTCACTTTTTGTCAACCAAGTCCCTCTATGCAAATTGTGCACTCATGTTCAAAGCTATCGAGTCAAGAATGCGAGAAGTTGAGACAGTTTGCCCTATCGCGTTCCTACTTTCAGCTGCATTGTAAGTTGGAACATGTTGGAACAACACACAGCCGAGCGCCTTGATCTTCACAGCATTCCTCAATCCACACAAGGGTGTTCAGGCGCAAACAGTTGAGCATGACAATTGTGCAAAGCTTTCTGGCACGGACATCGGATCAGCTTGGGTGCAACCACGCGGCAGCAGATTCACAAATCCTCGTGACAGGGTCTGGTAGACACCTCGTCTGCAGAGCACGAATGGCAAATGACAGCCAGCTGCTCAAATGAAGTTTGGCCACTGGCCCTTGCGCTCCCCCAAAACAAGATCTGGCATGACCCTCTCATGCAGTCAAGATGGGACACCTGCTCTGTCATGCAAGTTTACGCAAAAATTTTCCACGACAGGACACAACTTTGCAGTGAGGTGTTTAAAGTTTAAACCTGACAGGAGCACTCCGGGAGACTACACATACTACTGCACCAAATAAACAGCCCAAGCCAAGCACGCGAGAGGATGGGCGGCGGAATGTCCAAGACACCTGCCAGGCAATGCACGGGCTGGGCTTTGCCCAGCCCCCATCTAATGACCTTGAACTTGCCACATCCAGTAGTTGCATCTTGCAAGCGGGCGCCTATGCGCAGATTATGCGTGATGAGAACCTGACGAAGACAGCGCAGCTCGTGACTTGGTAAATAGCAGATCCATGAAGCTACACACAAGTCAAAGATGCTAGGCCAGAGAATGAATAGACGGAAATCTTTCGCACCAGCACACGAGGCTTGCAGGGAAGGAAAGTGGGAAAACCTAGATGACGCGTCGTGACGGGTAGATACACACTTGACAATTAGCTGCAATGGAACTGGTTCCAGGTTGAGTTGTGACCTTGACACTTAAGGTTCTTGCAAGTTAAAGATCACACTATCTAGCCACAGCTAAATTGAGGCCCGCGCAACCAAATCTCAGCATGCAAGCCCGCCTGGATCATGTGCTGCAGGGCACAGACCTTGCCAGCTGACTGCAACAGTTGCACTTCTGATGCGGAGCTGTCTAGAGGTTCCCACCTCCTTGACCCCAGCTCCCCTCGTACTCAGTCTTGATGTGCGAGTTGGTTTGATGCTGGCTTTCGTTTTGCAATAACAACCAGCCATCCGGGTGCGTTCAATCGTTGGCAAGCTTTGCGTTTCTCCAGGGCCTCTCGTAAGCATCCATAAGCCTGCACAACCGAGAGCCCTCCCTGCCACTTTATGCCGTCAGCTTCTTGCAATGCTCATGGGAGCTGCAAGCTTTTTGTCTACAGTGCGTGTTGCCTGTGCTCAGCTTGGCTGCAACAGGAGGGATTTGGGGGACAAAGTGAGGGTGGTGGTTAGCCCTACCCGTTTGTGTAGAGCTGAAATGGAACGCATTGGTGTTTTTGCGGTTTGTTGTGCTGCAAGGGTTCCAGCGTGCACGTGTTCTGGCTAAACACCTTGGGCGTTGCCACCAGTGTTGGTTGGCTTGGCAAGCCTCCGTTGCGCTGCATTTCGCTTTAAATTCCAAAAATGATTCGCTTTTGTGATACGCTTTTGGCCTCATCTCCACGCGCGCATGCTGACGCAATGCGCTGGCATAACGAGATTTGGCCAAGACGCCTCCTAAAGGTCTGTGTCCCCCTGATTTTTTGTTGGAACCCGAGCAGGAAGCCCAGCTCTATCAAATGCGTCCCGCCTGCAGCAGGTTTCCTCAATCCTCCAAAACTTTTAGCTCCCTAGGCCCTAGGCCACCAATCATACCTACCTTTACACAGGCTGAATGCTCCCCCTCGTTCGCAACTACAATAATACTGGACTGAACATTGCTGCCATACTTAACAGCTGCCTACTGTAGAACGCGATCATACCTGTAGTGCTCCCCTGCATCATGGCATGTCCTGCTTGATCATTGTCCACTTGAGCCTTGAACTTGCTGGGTTCTGCCTGTGCCTCCTAGACAAGGCTTGCATACGGGTAGAATCAGAGATACTTTGTCTCCCGCTTCAAACTTGTCCAATTTGCTGGATAGAACCCCGACTGCATGTCTCACATCGGCGCCATCTTGCACCAAGCAGGTGGCTTGCATGACCACCGAGCCGCTGGGCCGGTCATTTCTTCAGATCGGCGGTCTGAAGTCCGACCCCCTTCCGATTTTCAAACCAAGTTTCTCGGTGGGACGGTGTGTGTGCAACCCAAATCTGCCTTGAGGGTGCAACAACATCATCCGGCGCAAAACAGCAATCTGATTAGCACCTGTTTGGTCCAGGCAAGGATGACATCTTGCGGAGAAACATAACACATGTTTTTGCGTTTCGTTGTTTCCTAGACGTGGAAAAACATCTCCAATATCCAACACCCATGCGTCAAGACAAAATGCTAGAACACGGCTCCACGCTCTTCCCCTTGCCCATTCAGTTATTAGCAGGGTTTCTGCGCGACGCACCTGCCAGCAGGAGCCTATGCAGCAGCAGTCCACGGGCGCCTGCGCCTGCGCTTTCCCCTCGAAAGAGGGAGCACAAACGCGTCTCATACAAAAGCAACGAACAACAACAAAAACGTTATGAAATGTGGTCTGGTGATGCCATCATCTGGCACTTCAAAACTTGGCAAGCCGGGTGACCAATTCGGGTCTGGTCACGACTTCATTTGTGTAGCCTTTGAGTGGAACTGCAGCGAAAACACGGCAGCTCCTGCTTGTCGTGTGACGATCAAGACCATTTATGTGGTCCAAATGTTCGACGTTTTTTAGCACGTCGTCGTCTGCGTGTGGAAGGAGAACACGTCAAGCCGGCAAAGGAAGAAGGGACTGCCTGCGGCCGTGCTAACTGTGAAAGTCAAGGCGTCGCCTACTCTTGCTTTGGCGCCCGTGTCACGACAGTCGCTTTTCATCTGTACAAAAGTTAGTGCCTCATTCATGAGCTTATACGCACGAGAGCCATAGGAGGAACAGTTGCTTGGTCGGAAGAAAAAAGAATGGATGCGTGAGCTGCGCAGCACGTGGGAAGGCAGACCCATGTGCGACCTGGTCAACGCTGGCGGGCGGTCGCCATGACTTCCTGGGTCTTGGTCTGTTTGGTGAGCTCGGCATTTTTTGCTTTGTTGGAGCCGAAGGCTGCTCAACAACTTACCGTCGCTGCTCGCGGTAAGCTGCGGAAGCAGACGAAGCCAGGGAGGGTATGCGCTGCTTCGGCAGGAATGAATGCCTTCATTTCCAGAACTTGTGGGGAGTTCTAGAAACTGGCGGCGGGAACAAAGCCAGCTATCAGCGGCCTTTGCTCGATCTCTGCATGTTTGCTGCTTGAAGCTTGACACGATCCTGGCTGGCGCTAGTGGCGCGAATCTAGCATCTTGCGAGACACCGGTGCCCCAACAACAAGCCTGCAGCAAAGCAAGCCTGCAGCTGCTAAAGTGCGGCCGCCAGCAAAAGCTCCGAAAGCCAAGTGCGCTTTCGCATGCAACTTCACGTGCAAACCTCCTTGGCCAGGTCGAAGCAAAGTCTGGAAAACAGAATATAGTGCCAAACACCTGCACTCTTCAATGGCACACATGAGGGTCAAGGCACCAGCTGCCATGCCGATTGTGCTGCCATAGGCGTCAGAGCAGAGAGAGAAAGCAAGTACGACAAAGAAAAGGAAAAAGCGGGAAAACGAGAAATGGCGAATAAAGCTCTGCCCCCTTTGCCCTGGACCTAGTTTGGGCAGAGGGCTTCTCGGGCGCAAAGAATGAGCTTGGGAACGTCTGTAGGTCCAGGATACTTTTTTGTGTTTTTTCTGGTGGCGGCCCAACTGACTCTGCTGGACAACTGTCATCGATGCTGCCTCCACGACTTCTTCCTGGTCTCGTCAAGACCCGGAGACCCGCGTCCGCGCGACCTTCGCTGCCGGGCAGCAGCAGGTCTTCGATCCTTTTCTTCCTCCTGCCAGCTCCCTTACCTGATCCAGAGCGCTGCACGACCATGAAAAGTTTTTTTGATTAAAGCTATACAAGTAGGAGTCTGGAGACAGCATTGCGGTTGCCCGGTTGAGCCATGCACCACGTTTAGCATGCAAATGTACAAGTGCATGCAGATGCAGATAAAAAAAACTCTTAACTGCAACCCAAATCCTCAAACCTTAGAAACCCTTAACATCCCTTAACCACATGTGCCGCAGTCCTTTCCAACTGGACGACAAGTTCTCGTACTACTGCGAACACAGTCGTTCATATGACCCATACCATTAGAATGCTACCGCACCGCCGGAAAAACTTAGCTGTACGATGCCTTGTAATGTACAGCACTGGAAATGGTACTGACTGAATGCAATGTTAAAAGGCACAGGTAGGTGCAAGGTGCGCTGAGGCGGCACGGGCTCGGGCACGAGGTACAGTTCAAGGGCAAAGGGAAAAAGGAACGATTAGAATAAAAGGGTACGGATACGAGTACCAATGTGCCGCAAAAGGTCTTGCCCAACGTGGTACCCCTTAACCGAACTTTGTGCCCATACACGTAGCTTTGCTGTACCCGTCGACCATACCACGGATATGCATGCATCAATATACAACCCTCGTTACATTTCTCTTGAAGCTTCGTTGTTCCCTTCATTTGTCCCTCTCCCATTTTCCCAAACTGCAACTTGCAACCTGATTGGGACATTGTTCTGTCCAATCAACAGCTGTTCCTTGCAAAATGCGCTGAAACTAACTTTCAACCTTTGGACCCCACTAGTTGGCTTTCCTTAGTGACAGTTGGACGGGGTACAGGAAGGCGCAGCTGAAGGCTCTCCGTGCGGACCATGAATGCCAACATATAAGCAGGCCTAAAGTGCAGTGCCACGAACAGAAGCCAAACAACTTCCCAGCTTCTGGCCTTGTTCCAATCGTACTTCATCTTGCAGTCGCGCAGAAACCGCCTTCGAACGGCACATGCGTCTACTTAGCACCACCTCCAGCAGCACAGCACCAAAGCTGGAAAAACAAAAACACGAGATTCATGAAAGGCAATGCATCCAAATGGCAGCGTCGTGGTGTCCAGCGACATGACATCGATGGTCTCGCAGGCAAATGGTTAGGCCATTAAGCCGACTTTCAAAGCACGTAGCGAGTAGTCAACCAAAAAGGAACAGGAAGAGCTCACAGCAACAGCAAACTGCAGCAAACTGTGAGCCTGATAGCTGTCATCAAGGCTGCCACTTATTTCATCCTCGAAACGAAGATTCAACATCTGCCCATGTTAGTCTTGGAACGCTCCACCCAACTGCTGGCTTGACTGGGGCTGCAGCCAAGGCGGAGCCATGCATCAGCGATGTCAAACGAACTAATGTCTGCCGAAATTGCATCACCTCCTGATGACGGGGGGGACGTCAGCTGACCAAGCCAATTGTCAACTCAACGGGGAACCTTGCCTAAACCCCAGGTAAACAAAACAGACGATGGCAGACATGAAGCTAGCGCAGTGTCAAACATTCGTCAAGTCCCTACTCGGCCAGATCCAGCCGGGCCAGCGGACACAAGCAGAGCAGGGCACTTACATTGCTTCAGCACCCGTCCCGTTCTACAAACAATAAATGCCACTGATGGTTCACTTGCGTTTATAGAAGAAACTTGCTTAAGCTTAAATTGAGCAAGCAAGAATTCAGAAAGCAAGAATGTCAGGAGAAACCCCTGACACCCACAAAACTGATGAACTTAATTACTCCCCTCAAGCCCAAATTCGTAAGCCCGCACCTCTGAATATGAAATTGAAGGGACTGAACATGAAATTGAATTACCCCAGCACATGTAAACCCTGAAATTTAGTTAAGCGTAAACCCTAAATCTTAAAGCTTTTATCCTGAAAGTAAGTAGTCGTGCAAGCATGGGCCTATCCAAACATCATATCTAACACTAGAGGATATTCAGTTGCTTCGAGGTTGTGATTAGAAACCTAAGCCTTCATTTCTGGCTCGCCTGGAAAACATTCAACATTAGCAGATGGGGCTGCCTGCAGTGCAGACGACATCTTCTATGTCGAACCTTTGGACACATTCACTCATGAAACGAACAGCTACTGAATTGATTTCCTGCGCTGAAGTAGAGTTAAGGATAAAGTAGAGTCAAGGATTTCCTTGGGCTCCTAGTTCTTTGATTGCTCTCATGCAATGTTTAGCAAGGAATTCATGTGGAAGAACCTCAAGAAAATCTAGATATAATTAGGAGGTTCGTTGGCATTAGGTTGAGTGATATTCTTGTGTGATTTTCGGGATTGAGCTAATATAAGAACCTCAAGAAGGTTCCATAGAAAAACAAAGATTTCTTTGATGTCCTGGACTTTTATTGCTTCTTATACGATCATATACAAGAAATGAAATTGAGGAAATGTACCAAAAAAAACTATTAGCATCCGGGATTTCCCTGCATTTCTGGTTTTTCTCATGTTTGACAGGTTTTTTCATGATCTTACATAGAAGAACCTCAAAATAAGTATTCAGAATTTTCCAGGAACCTTTGAATCTGTAAACGCTTAGGTAAAGCACATTGAAACACATGCGGCGGGGGGGGGTGCCAGCTCTGAAGAATCGCGACCCCGGCAAATGCTGCTACCTTGCTCTCTCGCCTCAACCACACTTGCCGAGGCGGTCTCGCGTTAGCGATTATTATTTTTTTTCAACTACTCATGGGGGGCCTGCGCCCCCCCCCTCCCGACAGCCATGTTGTGAGAAGAAAAGCCTACTCGCGGTGAAGTAGGGCAAGCCTAGGGTTTATGCTGTCAGTTGACAATGTGTCAGTGAGCATCTCCCCAACATTGAATGTGTTTTCAGGTAGGCCTATACTTAAACCCTGAAGCATCTGCGGTGTAGGGTAACGTTCAGGTCTGCCGCACGCTGTATGCGCAGGGCATGGTTGGGGAATGATGGAATATGATCGAGATGAGGAAAAATAATGGAAAATCAATGACAATCATGGAATATGATGAAAGTGATGAAGAATGACAAGAGTGATGCCAAATGTTGAACAATACTCAGAAGAGATCCATGTTGAAGCATCATGAAAATGATGATAGTGATGACGGAATATGATGAACACGACTACATTTGATGAAAGATTGCGTAAAATCATTGATAATCACGATGGAGGATGCAGGAAGGTCTTTGAAAAATGGAAGAGTCTGGATTTTGATATCAGATTT